TTTTTTTTTTTTTTTTTTTTTTTTTTAGACAGGAATTTGACTTCCTGCAGGAGGGGCACTGAATCCTCCAGGCAGTGGCATCTGCCAGCTCATCTGCTCTCTTCTTTTTGTTTGCAGAGCTGGGGATTGATTGAACTCAGGTCATTGTGCTTGCCAGGCAAGTGCTTATTCAACTGAGCTATCTCCCCAGCCCCTGCAAAAGAAATTACTAAAAATGTTTAAAAATCATGTAAAACAATCAAAATTATTACTTCACATCTTTATAGGTCTGAAGTTCAACATTACATGGCTAAGTTTTCTGCTCAAGGTCCCAGAACATCAAAATCATGTGTCTGTCACTTTCTCTATGGAGGCTCTGAGGAAGCCATTCGCATTTCAATTAACTGGTAGCATTCAGATCCTCCTCACTTTCTACATGGTCTCTTACATCCTCAAGCCAGTAGGAAAATTTTGGTTCTCTTCACTTCTACTTCTATGAAAGAAATTTCTCTGCTTTTAAGGGATCAAGGTTGAAGCTGGCCAGAAAATTAGGAAAACCTCCCTATTTTAAGCTCTGTAATTTTAATTACACATCCACAGTCCCACATGCTGTGTAAACTTACATACTCAAGAGTCTCCAGGAATTAGGACACGCACATCTTTTCTAAGAGCAGGAATAGGGGATAAGCAGGGCTGGGGTAGGGAGCAACTGCTTCCTAATGATGCACCTTGTGTTAGTCAGGTTTCCATTCTACAAAAGAGGCGTGAGATGATCAACTTATAAAAAAAAACTTATTTTGGTTCAGAATATGGTAGTTTTACGTACATGGTTGGTTATTCCTGTTGCTTTGGGTTGGTGCTGGCACATCATGGTAGCAAAGTGTGGCCCAGAAGAAAGAGGGAGAGGAAGGGGCTATGGCCCCACCACGGGCATGAGGGTATGCATCCTATGACCCAAAGATCTCCTATTAGGACCCCCTCTTAAATAGCCTCCATCCCCCCAAAAGTATCTCTCTAGGGGATAAACCTTTACCATATGTGTTCTTGAGGACACCAAGATCCAACCACAGCAAACTCTGTAATACTCTTTGAGGTTTAAATTTATGTGTGTGTTCTTTTGATGAAATAAAAATCAAAGAGTTAAATTCAATTATCAAATTTATAAGTGCTAAATTTAAATGGACTCTATTTTAGGCAATATAACAAATGTCATCATACAAGCAGTCTTTCATGTTTTTTAATGTATTTAGTACAGGGTCTAAAGGGTCTCACTATGGAATTCCAACTCAGTGATCCTCCTGTTTTCAGCCTCCCAAGCACTGGGATTATAGGCATGCACTGCCACGTCCAGTCTCAGTAGCAGTCTTAGCCCGCCCCGGGGGCAGGGCTGGCAAGGCACTCTAGGGATCAAACCCCAGTCCCTGCCACTGCCTAAGCAGGCGCTTTAATTTGCTGAGCTATCTGGCCAGCCCAGTCTTTCATGCTTTTCAGGAAAAATGGCTGCAGATACGCCAAATGTGTTAGGTATTTTTTTAAGCACACCCATGCTAGCCACTTGTGAAACTGCTGATTTGGGTGGACCAAAGAACCTTCAGGAAGAAGTCATCTTGGGGCTTGATGTAAGGAAAATATCTACCACATCCAGGTGTCAGTAAAACTTTGCCCTTGTGTAAAGTAAAAGCACACCATGATTTAGTTACAGTATTTACAAAAGAATTCTTGCTTGACCTAATCATTAAGGTTGAAATAAAGCAAAGTTCTGAAATAAATGCTTTTATTTCCTCACTTTCTTTTATAACTAGTACTGAGTAGCATAATATGCTATTCATAGGAAAATAAAGTTACACTATTTATTTATTTATTTATTTATTTTTATTTTAGGGAAGGGTCTACAGGAAGTTCAGGGTCTCACTGCTAGATCGGACTCAGTGATCCGCCTGTTTACAGCCTCCCAAGAGCTGGGATTACAGGTGCACGCCACCATGCCCAATCTCAATTCCCGTCTCAGTGTGCCTTGGGGGTAGGGCCAGCATAGCAGGCCCGGGGATCAAACACCCAGTCCCTGCTCCTGCTTGCAGGTGCTTTAATCCGCTGGGCTATTTGGCCGGCCCTAAGTTACACTTTTTAAAAAGTCAGAGTTTAGGGTAATGACAAAATGGAAAACCACTAAGGAAAGTAAATGTGTTTAGATCATTTTAGCTCCTCTCCTCTCCAAGACTAGTAAGCATGTCCATGGCTACAGAAATTTGGTTTCCATAGATTTCACAGAGATGTATGACCATCAGTGTCTCCAATTAAAAGATTTCTGCCATAATACTCAGGAGTAAAATGTTAAGAATTAGAAAGCGTTTATTTCTTTGTCTTTTTGAGACAGGGTCCACTATGCAGTTCAGGCTGGCCTTGAATTCACTTTGCAGCCCAGATGGCCTCAAACTCATAGTGGTTCTTCAGCTTTGTGAGTGCTGGGACTACAGGTTGTACACCACCATACTTGGATAAAAAAAGGTTTCTTGGGTGAAGATGGCGGGAGCCCAGGATCTGGCTCTGGGTTTCCTGTGGCTGCAAAGAACAGCATGGCAGGTGGTGCTGTTGGGGGCACGGATAACCTCCTACATTACCAGGAACATGCTACCAGGTGCCTATCCAGGACCCCAGAGGAACAGGCAGGCACCACCAAGAAGTATAATATGCTTACGGAAGACTATGAGCCTTACCCATATGAAGGCATGGGGTATAGAGACTACCCAAAGCTGCCTGACCACCCAGAGCATGAGAGGGACCCATGGTTTGAATGGGACCACCCCTGAGGTTGAACTGGGGTGAACTGATTCACTGGCATCTAGACATGTATATCCAGAACCATGTGGACACATCTCCCACACCTGTTTTTTTTTTGAGTATCATGTGTAACCATCTCTTTGGCTTCATGGTGTTCATGCTTTTAATGTTCTGGGTAGGGGAGATGTACCCCAGCTACCAGCCTGTGGGACTAAAGCAGTATACTTAGAATAATCTGTACCTGGAAGGCGGCAGTGATCCCAGCAAGGAACCTCAGCTGGCAGTTCACTATGAGATCTGAGGGTTTTTTGACCATTGTGCCCTCTAACAAGGGCTCCTCATTCCTAGAGATTTAATTTGAATGAAATGCCAAATAAAACTTAGTGTTCTGGGAAAAAAACGGTTTCTTATTTAAACAAACAACTATCATTAGCTGGACACGGGTTTCCAGAATTTTCCCAGATAATCCCAGATAGTTACCGAAATAACCTGATCAGCACCTGCCATGCTTTAGAGTCTGAATCCAGTAGAGATTCAGAATAATTAACCCATGTGGTATGGCTACAGATATGCTCCTAGAAATTAATACAAGTGAGAAAAAAACTCTGACATTTAAATCATGTTGTTATAATTATAGAAAATATGAAATCATATCACCATTTCTTAAGAATGGCTACTAAAAGCCAATTCTCAGCCTCAAATCTAACCTACTAATGTGATTTGTAACTAGAGATCTCCCATCACATATGCTATGACAGTCCAGTGTATTGTGTATATCATGTATATATCACGCAAACCTTGACAGCATTCTGAACTCTATGTTTAGCTTAGTACTACAAAGGACAAGCTCTTCATTTCCATTATTTATTATAACCACAATTTATCAAATACATATGTCCCTTTACATGCTACTTGCAAAGACTGTATTAATATTAAACTAAGTACATGTGTTCTCAGAAAACACAGGCATAGAACATGAGGGAAGCTTCTGATAAATCATCATAGAACACCTACCTTGAAACATATTTTTACAATGTTTATTCTTTTAACTCCAATTTTCTCTACCACCCACTCCTTACAACACTTTCCCCCAAAGTAAAACCAAAGGAAAACTTTTTGGCAACGTAGAAAAAGATATTTTATGCATAATTACTCATGTATTCCTATAGACAAAAATCACCCTAGTTCAAGACATTACCAAAAACGTTAACATTATTTCACGTATACCTTCAGTGCCCTGATGCAGAAAACCTTTTTTAATGAAAGAGTTGGAATGACAATCCTTACATTGGGCTTTCCTAGGTAAATAGGGGAAAACTACAGGTTTGATAACATAGTAAAAATGACCCTAGTATTGTCTTGTAGGTGATGTATTAATGCTTCCGTGAGTTCCTATGTCCTGGATGCCTTTTTTGCAACTAAACAGCAATTATTGGTACTCTCATAATGTACTGCTCTCTTCTCTCCTGTCTATTTTACTTCCAGAAGAGGAGAACAGAAACAAAATATGATTTCCTCACTTGTAGGCTGTACAACTGTCACCATCAGTAGTGGTTTGGGAATTTCTAAGCCTCCTTCTCATTGCTATCAAAGTAGACCAACAGTAAGAATGGCTTTGATTGAAACCTTTCAGTGTTTTGCTTCACAGAATTATAAAAAAGGATATAATCTCATTTCTACATAGGAAAACCAAGAATTCTTTCCAGTGAACAGTAGAAGAAACTGAACACTTATTATGCCTGTATCCCACCTCAACCTAATAAACTCAATGAGCAGGGGAAACACCACCTGTTCCAATCTCCTCAGCACTGCCAGGCACAGTGCTTCTCTACTCCTATAGAAGCAGGCTGTCACGTTTGTCTAAACATGTGGAAAGCAGAGCCCTCTTATCTGCTGCTGCTCTAAGAAAAGGAATCGCAAGTAGCATCATTTTATTATTAAGAACTGGTAGATGATATGAGAACTTGCGATATAATGTTCTTAAACTCCTACTACCAATCTGAATCTGTGTGTGAGAGAGAAGGGGAGATAGCTCTCATTTACTTCTTTAAATCTGGAGGAAATAGAAAGAATATATGTGCATACATTGCGGGAATGGGGGAGAATGGAACCCTAACATACATAAAATTGAGTATATATGTTGGAGCCCTGCCTATCAATGGAATACATAAAATCTACTTAACCATTTGTGGCAGGGAAGAGAGGAACCTAGGGCCCATTTTATAGACAGAGAAATTAATATAACTAGACCTTTTTTCTCAAGTAAATAGCTAAGTGAAGATAGTATCTCATTGAGGTTTAGAAAATGCATAAACATTAAATACTGAAAACCCTCAACAACTTCAGATTCAAGTGGAAGTTATAAAATGTGCAAGAATTAGTTACTGTTTCTAAGTCTGTTCACATGGCACCTGAGATGCAAATTCATCCCTGCTCCTTTAGGTGTTCTAAGCAGATTTATTTCCCAATATCCAATGAAGATCAAAAGACCATAAGGAAAGGAATGAGGGAGAGGACAAAAGGAAATATTGACATGGAAGTTGGGAAGGTGAAAAATCTGACAACTGATTGGTTGGCGATAAAGGGAGTGGTAAGACCAAAAGAGTACCAACTAGACTGTAAACCCAGTGTCAGAGTGTGTCCCTCATACCTAGGCACTGATGTACAAGCCAAACATGTAGTCAACATTTGATGTGAGTAACAGAAGTGAAGAAAAATACCTCATGAGCAATTCCTTGGTTCAAACTCTAATACCCAATGAGTCATTCTGCTCCATTGTGTTTAAAAGTCTGCAATGGCATGGAATGGCCTTGGTCAAGAAGCTGCCTCTACCCTTTTTTACGGTTTTAATTATCATGGCCAACAGTGATTTCTGGGGCTTTCAAAGGACAGAAAAATACTATCACAGCAGATGTTTCCAGACTTGTAAGGGGCTTCAGTAGCCACAAACATTATTCGCTGGGATCTCAAACAATAGATACCAATTTTAGTTGTTAGATATTCTCTGAGTCATGTTTGACATTAGTATTTACATCCAAAAGTAAGTTGGCATACAAATATAATTCTTTGGTGTTGACACAAAGTATATGCATCATCATAGATCCCTTAGGGAGTTGTCACAGCTCTCACTAAGATTAAATTCTACAGTTACCATCAATTTTTTGTTTTGTCCCTTAGTGTGAAGACTTTGCAAAGGATATCTGCTTTTAGAATTCAGTAAGAATGACTCCTTTACCATCTTCAAAGGGCCCATTATTTTTAGATTTTGGATGGATGACTCACACAAAAACTTGTGGCTCTTATGGGCTGCCTGCTTTTAAAGGTTCCAGTAGTTTCAGTTTTCATTTAATGAGTCCCCAGATAACAAATGTAGAATATGAGGAATATTCACAAGGTTACGCTGGAAGCAAAATAAATTATCCCAATCATTGAGAGGTCTTCTTCACGTTTTCTATCAGCACTACTGAGTCAGTTTCTTCTTTGGATTGCTTCTCACAGATGTCATACTTCTTCCAGTGCTGCAAGGGAGAAAAAAAATATACACAACAATTTTTCTCAGCAATGTTCTTTTCCTGAGTACTCAGAGCCAATGTTTATTTTTAGGTTTGCATGTGGGGAATCATAAATCTGTTTTCCTGGTTTTTTGTTTCATGACCTAAGAATATTCATCTATTTTAACAATTAATAATAAGACAAAACAATCAAGAATTAACACTACAGGGGCCGCGGAGATGGCTCAGTAGAATAAGCACTTGCCTGGCAAGAGTAAGGGCCTGAGCTCAATCCCTGGTTTCACCAAAAAAACAAAATAAAACAAAAAAAAAAGAATTAACATTACAGATTGGAAAAGCATGGGACTGTTGCATGGTGTTTTGTGACCTCAACAGATATACAAACTTGGGCTGGGAAGATAGCTTAGTGGCGCACTGCCTGCCTGGCAAACATGAGATTATGAGTTCAATTCCCAGTACAAAAAAAAAAAGACCCAAACCCCAAAAACTCAGATACACAAATATGGACAATTTCAGAGTTGGAAACAGCCTTTGAAGATGAAAAAAAAGGGTAGCATGCATTTATTTTAACTGCTTTCACTTGAACATTTATTATCTTAGTTTGCTTACCCCTCAAATTTGACCATTGCTTCCGTGATATAATTTAAAGTCAATTAACATGTAGAGCAATGACAATATATAGGATGGCCTAAAAGTCTTACTGCAATAAAAATCTTTGAAATGTGATGCAGTAGTAACTTTAATATTAATTGCTAAACACTACACATAAGCCAAGTTCATTCCAAACCCAATTCAAGCATGTCTTTTATGGTGAAAGCCAGCATCCTAGAACTTGCCTTCTGTACTTGTATATCTGGGGAAAGGGCGAAATCTGAGCTCTATTCTTTCACCTATAAAAATAAAGTTATTAGGCTAAGCCAGAGGTGGGCAAACTATTGCCCACTGGCCAGTATTGCTAACTTCCTATTTCAGTATGTAAATTTGTATTGGAATATGCTCATTTGTTTCTGTATTGCCTCTAGCTGTTTTCAGGCTAACACAGCAGAGGTGAACTGTAACAGCTATCAAGTGGTTTGCAAAACCAAAAATATTTATTACCAGGCCCTTTACAGAAAAAGTTTGTTAACCATTGCTTTAGACTAGGTCTAAGCTCTGTTTCCATCTACAAGTTCTACGGTTCTTTAAGCTTAGGGAAAGAAACAGAAACAAGGAAACAGAAGCAAGAGTAACTATGACTATTCAGTTGCTACAGGTTATGCAACTAGAGATGCATGTGGTAAGTGGAGCATTCTATCTCAGAGAATTTATAAGTTGGGAAAATACTACTTAAAAACATTCTAACAATAGTATTTAATCTTGCCATGCTTGGTAGAGTGGGTAAAGTTAAAAATACTGGCAACTCCAAGCGCTGATGAGGATGCGCTGTAACTAGATCTCTCACATACTGTTGGAGAAAGTGTACAGTACAGTCAGAATGGCAAACACCTGATAGTTTCTTATACAACTAAACACATGCTCACCACATGACTCAGAAGTCCCACTCTTAGGTCTTTACCCAAAAGAAATGAAAACATGTCCACAAATATTTCTACAGGAATATTTATGCAGTTTAACTTTATAATGTGTCTAAATTGGACATAAGCTCAATGTTCTTGGAAAAGTGAATGGTTAAATAAACTATGGTACAGCCATACCAAGGAATATTGCTTAGCAATAAAAAGGAATGAACTGTTGAAATATGCAAAAACACAGATGTCTCATAAATGTATCATGATAAGTGAAAGAAACCAGATTCAAAATGCTATGCACTTTATGGTTCCATTTATATAAATGGCACACTGGAAAAGGTCAAACTTTAGGGGACAGAATACAAATCAGTGGTGGCCAAGCTCCAGGATCAGGAAGGGAGCTGACTGTGAAAAGGCATGATGGAATTTTGGGGTATGCTTTAAAAATTCTGTTTCTTCTTCCCTCCTCCCCACTCCCTCCTCCTCTCCCCCTTCTTCTCCCTCTTCCTTCTTCCTTCTTTTGGTATTGCAGTGACTTGGCATTGAGTTGTATCACCAGTCATGTGTCTGTTTGTTTGAGACAGGCTCTTGCTAAGCTGCCCAAGTTGGGCTAGAACTCTTCCTGTCTCAGCCTCCCAAAGAACTGAAATTAAAGAAATGCAGCACCACATCTAGCTAATATTCTGTATGTTAATTGGAGCAGGGGCTACAAAATTGCACATGTCTGCTAACATAACTAATGAAAACAGTCTGAAAAAATACATGACCTCAAAATAATGGCTTATTCACTAAATGGCACTAAGACAACTGGCCAAGCATTTGAAAAACAAATTCAAATCCCATGTCATAGATTACTCAAATAAATCCTTGCTGAATTAAAGACTAAATGTAAAAAAAAATCAAGTAATAAAAAATATAGGGGACTATATATATTCATATATATATGAAGTGGAAAGGGCTTTCAATATATAAAAATAAAAGGAGTTTTAGTACAGAAAAGTTAATATTTTGTACATCATTAATCATTCTAAATACAATAAAAAGGCAAAAATTGATAAACCAAAGGATTAATATATGACATACAAAAAACTTTATAAACCACCATAAAAAGATGAATACCATAGAGGGGAGACAGACAGGGTACAACAATTTCACAAAATAATTTAAGCCAATAAACTTGTGAAGACATTAAACCTTACAGGTGTAATTAAGATGCCCTTTTCTCACCTGTCAATTTAGCACTAGTTTGTTTAAACGAGATAACTGAGAGTTGATAAAAATGTGACCAACCATTTGGATGTGCTATTGGCAAGTATATAAACTCATACAACCTAATTCTTATCTATCCTTCTAGTAAATAAATGTGATTTTTGTATATTCTAATGCTCCTGTTTTCTTAACATGAAAAAATCATCCTCTACATAGGTAACCTGGTATTTTAATAGCATATGTTATGTTTTTACACATCAGTAAAATAGGTTGATCCTATTTTCTTTATCCTCTGCATAATATTTCATTGCATGAATGCATCATAACCTATTTAGCCAGTATATTTAATGGAATTTAATGTGCAACATCTTGTGATGACAATTTGTCAATATCAACCAAAGAATTTAAAACAAGGCTGAGGTTATAGCTCAGTGGTAGAACACTTGCCTTTTGTGAGAGAGGCCCTGGGTTTATCACAGAAAAAAAGCCTCTCAGAATCATGCAAAAAGATAAATAAAGAAAAAAAAATAAAAACCCTGCAAAAATCAGTCAGAGGTTCTTTAAAAATAGGTGGCAGGATTTTATCCATAGTATTTTGTTTGCAGAGAAATTCTGGAGGGAAGTTAAGGTTTTTTAATCTCTCAATGCCACTATTTTTAAAAGTATGTATAGAAAAGGTAAGTAGGAAAACACGATCAAATTTCCCTGACACAGTATAAACTAAGATGTATGAAAATGATTTCCCTATGAATTCCAAAATAATAGTAGGTGAAGACAAACCAGAGATAGCTATAAAGTCAAAACTGTATCAGCTGGGGAAGAATACATAGAAGGAATCAACACGGCATCGGAGAGATTAGAAAATTCTAAATTAATTTTCTCAAATGTTAAGTAATTTATGAGTAAGAGCAGCATATGGAAGTGATTTGCCTCTCCAAACAGTGAAGAAATGAAGAGAGTCCACAGTCTAAACTGAGACCCTCACAATGAATCATCCTCAGCTCCCTTGCAGGGTAAAGCTGAACTCAGGAGCAACTAGTGAGAATAGATTCCAAATTGCCAAGGACAGAGAGATGAAAAACATGAACAAGAAAGTAGAAAGCCCAGACTGATGTAGAAGAAATGGATGAATGGATGGAAGGAATGAAGGAGAAAAATGAAAACAGAAAATGAAACATTTAAAAAAGAAACAGACACTGACCTTCTCAGACCAAAAAGCTACAACTCTTGTTGCACAGGTCCTGCTTTACCTTGGTCTTAACCATCCAGTAGAAAAGTATGAAGACGAAATATAGGAAATAAAGCCATGCTGTTAAGTTGAGCTGTGGGGGACTCAGGTCAATAATTTCTGACATTGCCAGTTAAACAGAAGACCCAATGCTATTATGGGCTACTGGACTCTTTTAGAATATTTTGCTGAGTTTACACACCTATAATATTCAATAACAGAACTTAAAAAAAACGGGGTATAACTATGAATGTCCATTTTGTATCTGTGTATTCAAAGTGGTTGGGATAGATATATAGTTGCATTCTCTTAATGAATAGAATGATTTGTTCTAATGGTGTTTGTAAATAGGATCACAAGTCTGCATCTTGTACAGCAATTAACCACTAAGAAGAATATATGCAGTGTATATTTGTTGAAACTGTACTTCCGATTTGATTTGAAACTGTCTGTTTATCAATAAAACTTTGAAAAAAAAAGAAACAGAAAAAGCAGAGGTGGCACACAGGCAGGGTAAGAATATTTCAGAGAGGAATTCACTCTAATTTTGAACAATTCTGAAATATCATAGAAAATGGAGCTTTATAGTCATGACATTAGAAAAAAATCTAACCCAAATCAATCTTCCTTCAAAAAGTTCAGGATATTAATTTCATGTAAAAATGAGCAACATATAGCGGGGAAGATAGCTCAGTGGTCTAAGGGCCTGCCTGGCAAGTGCAAGGATCTGGTTCAATCCTGGGTACCACATGCCATGCAGGTCCTGCGCCGTGTGGCCCTGAAACCCGGTGTGATGATGCACTTCTGTAATCCCAGGGCTGGGGAGGCTGAGACAGGAGGATCACTACACTAGGAGTCCCAGCTGCATAGTGAGACCCTGTACCAAATATATTTTTAAAAAGAGCAATAGAATAATACCCTTTCAGAATTAAAACATGCCTGAGAGCTGGGGATATAGCTCTGCAGCTTAAGTGCAAGGTCCTAAGTTCCATCCCTGGGACCACAAACAAAAACAAAAATAAAAAACATGCTTTTGAACCAGGAGTGGCATAAGCACCTGT